ACTGCCCCATCAGGACACTCAGCAGCTACAACCCCACTACACCCAGGCATCAATGATACCTCTGGCTAAGTCCAATCCAAAGGAGAAATCTGGCAAGGTAGCTTGTGGATTTTATTTTTCATCAAGTTTTTATTCTTTGGACTCAGGTGTATGAGATCATTTGATAAGTCCTTTAGACTGTGATGTCTTTGGATTTCTTAAACCCAAAGGGCTTTAAACTTTAAATTATTTTTTCCCCAAGTTGAGTAATAGGATATCTCTATTCAAATTTGGAATATCATTACATTGCTAGCATTTTATTATTGGACTATCTCTCATCCATTTTCATATAGGAATCTATGTTGGAATTTGATCTCAAGGCAGAGTCTCTGATGTACTGTATGGGCAAGAAGGCAGGAATGAATTGGGGATGGGAAACAGAAGTTGTTTAGTCTTTGTTAAAGAGGAGCCTTTGAATTTATTAACTTATTGGCATATTGTTAGATTCATTTCACAGCCTTCTGAGCCAAGTAGCTACCATCCACTGATAAAGTAAGAGCTCTCAGAAGTAAGAGCTCTCCTCTGACAGCAGATCCACCTTCAGGAAATGCTGTCGCCTCCTCCAGGCTGTGCAGTGAGCCAGAGTGTCATGAGAAATTAGAGCTGGGGAGTGTAAAAGAGGAAGACCCTTCCCCAATCCACATATCTGGGGGAAAGAAAGGACTTTCACCTACACACCCTCCTGGCTTCTTTGATTCTGATCAGTAAATTTGAAGAGTAAGTCCTCTTGGTTCAGCCTACCCCAGTCTTAAATTTTCCCTCCTTTACAGTTGTGGATTTTCCTGTTCCTCCAGGGGCTTCCACCCCTTTGGGGGCAGGCTGGGGTTGACTGCCTGGATGGGTAAATTTACCTAATCCCTGAAATCACTTACTAGCAAATTCATTTAACTAAATATAAACAGTCAGGAATCCCTGGCTCCAACCTGGCCTCTACCTGTCTTATGGATTTAACCGTCACCTTTTTATCAAATAGCTCAAAATTCTGGCCAGGGAGAGGGTGCTATTTACTAGCCTCAAACGCTCAACACCTGCCACCTATACTTCTGTTGTTCTTACAGCCTTTACAGTCTGACCTCAGGCCTTGGCAACACAGCCAATCTGTACAGGGCAATATGCAAGAGACTGGAACAGAGCAGAGCCTGTCCTCATAGAGTTTTGGTTAAGCTCCTCTTCCTTCCCCCACTGTGAAACCACCCCCTCTATTCCATAACACAGCAGACTCATTTGTGCCAGTGGCCTTCTCTCCCCAGAGACCATTCTTCTTCCAACTCAGACTTAAGTATTTACACCTAGGTAAAATTCCACACTTAGCCACCACATGGCCCCACACACCTAGGACTTTTTTACAGTCATTTTGATGCCATCGCTGGGACAGTCAGACCTTCTGGTGACTGCATGGTCCACTGGGTGATACTTTGTTATGGGATCCGCCCCGTACACTATAGGGAGTTTGGCAGTGGCATCCCCGGCCTCTGTCCACTGGATACCATAGCCTATATTCCACCCCCACTATTTGTGTCTCTGGGAATTGTCAGATGTCACAGATGTTCCCAGTTGAGTGTCACTATGACCAGATCAGAAGTCCAGGCCCTGGAAAGCCAACAGCACTGAGGCACCTGGTCAGAATGTAATATGGTGGAGTGAATTCACCTGACAAGTTTTTAAAAATTAAGAAGTGATACCCCTAAAAAGCCTCTATATAGCTCTCTGAAGATTAAAATTAAGCAAATCAAAAGCAAGGCTAAAATCTGTGCTTCCTAAAAATACCTGACTGCTGGGATTGTTTTTTAAGGCATTATAATCAACCAAGATAACATTCCTTCCTGAAAACCAATCATACCAATTATTTATCAAAAGACAAAGTGGTATATCCGGAAGAGGTAGGAAAATGAAAATGGAACATACAACTCTATTCAATTAGGAGCAACTGTAGAGAATTTTATTTAACTGTCAATTTATCACCAACATCTAACATTTGTAGTTTTGCTACATTTGGGTATGCACATTAGGAAGAAAATGTAAATTAAATACTACAAAAGTATACTTTTAATGAAACGTGGTTTTAATAGGACATGGATATCTAAGTTTAGTGGTTTTATTGCGTTGTTAGAAAATCATTACGAAAGATACAAAAAACAGTATTATTTCTGTTTATTTTACAATCAGTATGCCATTTTTTTACTGCTATGGCTTTAAATTTTCATCCTACTCAACGAGTTTCAAAGAATAGTTCATTACATGCCTTAATAAAACATTTAAAATATTTACAAATTCAAAATAGATGTTTTATAACTGAAAAAAGTTCACCTGAGAATTCATTATACCACTGCCATTTCTTTCTTTTCTTCCCAAGTTGCCAACATGGCTGAGCATCCACTTGCAACCTGTATCGTCTACTGCATCAAATATATTTAATTCCTTATTTAAAATCGGTTAAGCGTTAAGCTGTAGTAAATTGCTATAAAACTTACAGAAGGAGAACCAAGACGGTATCCACAGTTGTTCTGAATGTAACAATTTAACAAATGATTTGCTGTTGTTACAGAATTCAAATTAAAAAAAATTTAAGGTAATGTTATTTTACTGAATTAGTTATAACAGCTTTTTAAAAATCACCAATCATTGAGAAGACCAGTTCATCAAATAAGGAGCAATGATCATGTAAATATGCAATATACAAACTGAAAACACCATTTTCAAGACTCTGCATGAAGGAAAAGGCATACACTGTATACACATAATCCTCTCATTTGTCTTCGGCAGCCTCAAAAAAATATATTGCTTTGAAACAAACTTTCTTATAAAAAACTTCTTTAGAAGTTAAGGTTAAAATAAGCATAAATGTATAATGCTATGCAATATGTAGAAAACTTCCCCACCTTATGGCCAAAAGACAAAAATAATAATGTTTTTACCTATCCATCTGTATTACAACTTGAAAATCCTGTAGATATGAGGTAGTGTAGTTACTTGTATTACATGCTGGCTGTTAAAAGTAATGCTAAATTTTGAGAAATATTACACTTTACCAATAATCAAATATCATTAAAATAAACGCTTAATGCTAAACTGTTTATAGGTCGAGAGAAATTTTAACCAAGTGCCTTAAAAATTATATTTAAGCTCTAAATACAACTAGGTTTTATCAAAAAATGGCAACATTTCAAAGCAAGTATTTACAGTGGCGATTAAAGCAAAATATTATTTGACATTTTATATACAAACTGATATGACAAACAGCTGAGTGTACACTGAGGTAGGAAATCAAGGATTCCATTGGCTTGTATAAGATATACACTTTGTAAACCAGAAAAGTTTTTATATTATTTTATAATGTGAAGTTGAAATTTAAAATTACAAATATCAAGGAAATAACTATATGGGGAGATACATGTACACACACACACACAATTCTTTTGCAGTATGGGACGCATTATTGTAGAATTATCATCCCCCGATAAATTGAGTATACTTATGAAAACCACTAGAAAATAAACAAGCTCAACTATTTTCCTCTTACAACTAAGAACAAAGATAATATACTAAGCAGTGGGAATATACTAGCAATATCCTCCCCCTCCACGCTGTGATCAGAAGGGTAACACATCTGACAAACCTCTCTGAGACACGAAGACTGTCCCCAAGAGACACTCATGGCCAAGGCCTAATCTCTTCAGACTCATCCATCCCCAGTGGGTGGTCAGTGCCCACATTAGCTAGACAAGCCCTTCACTAGGCTTAGGGTGTATGTAGTCCACAGAAATCTCTCTCTCAGGGGTCTGATCTTGGTGAAAAGTACTTTTTATTCCAAACACTATAAACAACTTCTTTGTACTCTTTAAAACTGGGTTCTGCAAATGTTTATGTGAATGTGAATATATGTATTTTTGTAATTGCTGAAAGTCCATAGCTTTCATTTGACTCCCAAACAAGCCTATCATTCCAGAATGCTAAAAACCACTCCAAAAGGTTATAGAATAGGAACTCAAATTATATATCTATTTTGTAACAGGATCGACTAAACACAAAGACTGATTTATAAATGCCCCAGTCAAAATGACTTGTGTGCCATGCCGCACAATACCACATCTGGGGAAAAGAGAAAGGATTAAACCTGGTTTCCAAATGCAAACCCACAACAGAAAGAGATTGAGTTTTATCCTACTTCACAAACCTGCAAAGTTGTTGTAGATACACTTTTATCTATAATAATGCTTTTTACAAGTAAACCATAGGACTTCAAGAACAGAATGAAAAACGAGCTACTCTCCTGGCAAATGGCAAGTCTCCTTCCCCCTGACGCCTGGCTTTCTTGTATTACTGACCTACACAGGCAGAGTGACAGCCTGTGTCCTCCCCTGAATTCTAGGGAGCCTAAGACAATGCTGCCAGTGCATGCACTCATACTACTGTTTCCTGAGTCCTATTTCTTCTTCCAAAGGGTAAGAACATCACATCAGGAAATAAGTCCGTGACAGGCCCAAATACGATAGAGACTGAAGAGAGAAGGGAGGGAAAATGACTCATCTACTGTTCATGCAGCTAGAATTTGTGGACTCCATACTGAGAAGCCCCACCTTAGGCCAACCACCTGTCCACTTACTCAGCCTCCCACAGTTACTGGTTTTAGTAGAAGCCAAACGGCAAAGCTCTAGGATTCTGGCAAGATGACCTATTTTTCACACTGAAGCTCTACACAAATATTTCCAGTAGCCGACATCCTATTTCTTTGTAGAATAGAAATCTATTAGCAATGCTTGGGAAGTAATTTTCTTTTAAAGAAGTATACTGCAAAAGAGGCTAGACTAATAAACTTCTGCAGGCCAGTTCTCTAGTAAGAACTACCTGCTGACAGTTTACACTGATATGCTGCAGTTTTCATTTTCCTATTTTAAATATTGTGAATTATTACAAGTTACTCTTTAAAATATAAATTTTAAAATGCTTACTACATTTTCACATGTGATTTTTTTGGGGGGAGGGATATCTGAGAGGCGAAGTTATTTCTGTGTCTGTTGTGGAAATCAAGGAGAAATGAGGTTGGCTTAAGAGACATTCCCTTATGGCAACGACTAGGGCAAAAAAACAATATTGTTAAACGAAAGATGAAAACATTAGCTTTCAAGACTATGCCAAAACTTCAGTAGAAAATCAGATGGTCTAAAGGAAAAGTCTGAAAGTTTACTCATCAGTAGTACACTTATCGGTCATCTGTTGACAGAAATCTGATATGCCGCCACTCTGACGGCACTGCTGCCCAAGCCCAGCTTGCTCAGAGGTGGCTGGAGGCGGCGGCGGCTGTGACTCCTGCCTCTCAGCACAGCAGGACTCACCTTCTCCTCTGGCACAAGGGGGCAGCACAGCTGGAGGCCCGTTAGACAAACTAAAAATTGATGGTAAAGCAAGTTCACCACGAGGAGTATTTTTTTCTTTTTCAGAAATTAAAAATGAAAGTGGGCAATCTGAGGCTGAGTATTTGGCGAGTATCTGGATCTGTTCTTGACTTAGAGCTGCTTCCTTACAGACTTGCTGGCAAAGCCCAGTTAGGTTCTGCTTTGTCTCACCCAGAGTCGACAAAATGTGATCTCTTTCCTTCAGCAAGCTCTCCTTCTCATTTTGCTATAAAGGAAGGAAAGAGAACAAGATCAGGTTATAGCTCAATCAGCACTTCTGAAATGATCAAACGCTCAGTATCTACACTGTCTTCCCATTAAATAAGATCATATGGAATTTATTCTTTCAACTCAGTATAATTCTACCTAAGATACCCCAAGTCCTCCCTTCCAAAACTCGTGGGGCAGGTATCTCTTGGAATTCAGAATTTCTTTGATTTTGGAAAGATAATATGAGTCCACACCACATAATTCTACTAAGAGGTCTGGGACAGCACCTCACTATGAAATATCTTTGCAATTCTAATAAAACATTAAAATAGCAAACAATGCACAAAGTATGGTTAAGATTCTATGAAGCCTAATGTCCATTTGGGTCAGTTATTTTGGTTAAAAGAGTTCTTTCAAGGTCTTCACAGTGTTTTAGATTTGCAGATTACATATAAACAGGAGTGGATTTGACATTTTGAATGGAATACAACAAAAAAAGTGTAAGTACAGTGAACACAGACAGCTTAACTAGTGAGATTCAGAACACTGCAAAGAGTCCATTAATGGCTAACATCTTTTCAGCAAGTACTTGGGACCAGATATAGTGCTTAATGTTTTCAAATATACAATCTCCACTATGTTATCCACCCAATGACTTTGTTGATTTAAGTGATATTAAGTCCATTTCATGGGTAGAACTGAATTTAACATGCTCAGAGACAAAGTTTGTGGGTTTGTTTCTATAGTGCAGAGAATTTGGGGGTCACTTTTGTGTTTGTGAATTATTTTTGTTCTTTTTTTTTGCAGTTTTGGCCAACGCCGGGCTTGAACCCACCACCCCTGGTATATGGGGCCAGCACCCTACTCCTTAAGCCACAGGCGCTGCCCTGTTCTTATAATTTTAAAATGTTAACCTTACGTAAAAAACTCTATCATAAAAGTTTTTTCAGAAGTTTTCCTGGTTCCTGCCCTCCCGTCCAGGTCCCTCACTGCTGCTGACAGCGCATCTTCTGCTGTCACTGTCCCGCCTCATCCTTCCTGTTCTGCGACTGCTTGCTTCTAACCTACTGTGAGCTGGGAAACCAAATAAAGTGTTTACAAGGTAAGAGCCCATAAACACTGATAAGAAGTCAAAGGTTTCTCTTGTGACATTTATGACAATACTCAGCAAATCCGAGTCTAGTTCTGTTTGCTTCCTGCTCCTTGGCAGGTTCTGGAGAGTTGAAGTTACCAGTTAACACTGAGACGGATATTTCATAGCGCTAACGTACAAGCGCCAACTTTTAAATTCTGAAACAAAAATAGCTAAAAAGAACTTTGCTTTATATACAGAAGTACTGTTATGATTTTATATAAGTATTTCTACAAAATTATGTTTGGATATAATTCTTGGTAATTTTAAAATATTCTAAGATCATCTAATATTTTGAGAAGACATGCAATGAATATAAAGCTCTAAATTTTATATTGCTAAGTATTTTCCAATTTGTTCATATTTTTATACATTTTGTTTTAAATAGATATATCAAGAATCAGAGAGTGTGAGAGTAGAGTGGGTAACCAAGGTCAAGGTTCGGCAAACACATTTTCTCTTCTGCAAAGTCTGTCAGTTATCTTCTTCTGATAGAAGAAGGCTGCAGGTGTCCACAGGGCAAAACAGTACCTACTCCCCACCCAGAGAAGGAACACGTTCAATGCAGGTGACACCCATTTCTTTTTATGGCCTCTCAGAAGTCAATAAAATGAGGATGGAAAAAAAGAAAAGTGGGAAGTATCTTTCTTCAGTCACAGCACTAGTCAGCCATGGATTCCTCTATCAAAGTTGGGATGAAATCTGTTCTAAATAGCAACAGATAAAATTCCAACTGCTGGTGGTTTTTTTAAATTAAATGTGGTTAAACATAATAGTATTTGTGCTTCCCCCCAGAAATAAGAACCACCACTTAACCTATAGATATTATGTACTATGAAGATTACAGCTATTTTATATATACGGCATCTTTATATAAATAATCTTATGAGCTTTTAATATTCTCATCCCTCTATCCCATTAATTAGGGATGACATCATTCTTTAAGTACATCCCATAAAAGATGGCTTGCTTCTTTACAACTAAAACCAATAGGTACATTCCTGAAATCCACCATGATTATTTCTATAATTTAAACAGACCCATCTGTTCCTCTGTAACTCCTACACAGCTAAGCTTCTAGGCAATTAGCTAACGTTTCCATTTCACTCTAATTTTAAAACCAATTTACCATAATAGCAGTCAACTCAGTAACTGATACAAAAATAAAATTCAGCTGTAATCACTTCCTAACATCATTATGAAAGACACCTCCCATACATACTCATCACCAGAGTCCTGCTACCTACTTCTACAACATACTTTAGTTTTCTACAAAGGCAAATGTATAAATCATAAGTTTGAAGCACTGTGTCTTTAATCACAGATATATAAAATACAGAATAAACCTGGTATTCTGGTGCCACTCTGTATTTACTCAAACAAAATAACTTTATATCTAAATCAATTATTTTCAATAACTAATATACATTATTTACTTAAACAGAAAAAGTCTTTTTCAGAAGATTCTGAATATAACTCACCTAATTAAAGATAAAGAGAAGAAAAATTAGGCACAAAAAGAGCCAGATAACAGTGACAATTTACTTTATAGTAAAGAGTATTTACTGCTCGAAAATGTTACTAATAGTTCCTTACTAAATAAAACCTTTGGAGACAGTTTAGAGAAACCTACAAATAGGTTTCTGAACAGAAAAAATGAAAATGAACATAAGTGCTCAATTTCACTCAGAAGAGGAATAAAAACAAAAGCTACCGTGAGGTACCAGTTCTCACTATCAGACTGGAAAAACCTCAACGGGAGACAACAATTTTTTTTTGCTAAGACTGTGAACAGACACATGTGTTATTACCTGTGGAAGGCCAAAAGTTACAGCCACTACGGAGGGGAATGCGTTAATATCTAATAAAGTTATGTACGTAACTTTATATCTAATAACTTATGTAAACCTTGACGCACAACCACTTCTAGGCACCTACCCTAAAGATCCGTCTCTGTAAACACGAAAAAACAGCATGTGTTACTCACGGCGGGATCTCAATGTCCACCCGTAGGGGCTGGTGTGATCTGTACTACGCACAGCCGCAAACGAGTACAATGGAGCTCAAAGGGAGGACAATCTCTCTGAACCAAGAAAAATATTTCTAGAAACTAACTCTTAAGTTGAAAGAGTAAAATACAGAACAGTGTATATAAAATATTTCTATGTAGCAGAAAGGGTTATAATATTACATATTATTTATATAATACATATATGAATATATAAAAAATAATATTTTCTAGAAATAACATGTTTCTAGAAAAGAAAAAAGGAGGAAAATCCAGAAACTAATAAAAATGGTTACCTACAGGAAAAAGCTATGAAAAGAGCAGCATGAAAATTTTGGACTATATATTTTTTTAAACATAGTTTTAACTTTTGAACCCTATGTTTTCCTTATTCAAAATTTAAGCAAATAATGTAAAGGGTAAATCCCAGCAATGTAAATAGAAACAAATTAATTATATATCAAATTGGTAATATAAGCAAAGAATTACTTCAAATAATTTTCAACTTCTACACTCTGGAATATATTTAAGGACAAAAAAGGCAAATAAAATCTCATTTTTTTAATTCAATCTGTTTATTGTTAATAGTGATAACTTTCCAACTCTTTTATATATAGTGAGTCCTCACTCAACATCATCAGTATGTTCTTTAAAAACTACAATTTTAGATGAAATGATAAATAACAAAATTATTTTTCCCTCAACTTTCTAACTAATGGCATTAAACAAAACAATGTTAGTGGAAAACCTGGTATACATCATTTTGCTTCAAGTTGCAGTTTCCAAAAACCCACTGACAATGTTAACTGAGGACTTAACTGCATTTCTCAGGATAAAGCAAATAGTCAATACACAAACATAATGGAGCCAAGATCTTCCCTGTAAGTGATGAGAGAGAAAACACACTGTGTAAAAGCAGCAAAGACAAAGCTCTCCCCTGATCAGTGTGAACTGGGAGTACCTACACAAACTCGTGATTTCTACTGTACGTCTCACACACACCCTGCATGAACCGGGATTAGGCACACACCTTTCCCAGTCTGTCCACTGAAAGGGCCCAGAAGGAATAACACTCCAGCAGCAGGTATGCTTTCCAAAGTCCACTATCTGCTGAAAAACCCAGGGAGTTTTGGAGACGAGGCTGATTACAAGTCTTGGGACAGGCAAGAGAGGTAAAAGATGAGTCTCCAACAGGAGACTAAATGCTAAATGGCACAGAAGCACTACTGATGGGGCTTTGACCCACAGGACAGCAGCTGGCTTGAAGGGGCTCCACCCAGCCAAATCTGAAAAAACATCTACACCAAAAGACTAATGACTATTATTGATTCTAACAAATTGAATCTGAAAAAGTTAACAGGGCAGTAGGAGGAAGGAAAAAGAGAAAATACTCCTTTTTTTTTTTTTTTCTGAAGACAAAGTTTTGCTCTGTTGCCCTACCTAGAATATAGTGGTGTCATCATAGCTCACTACAATCTCAAACTCCTGAGCTCAAATGATCCTCCTTACTCAGCCTCCCAAGTAGCTGCAACTACAGGCATGAACCACGCTGTATGGCTAATTTTCTACTTTTAGTAGAGACAGGTCTCACTCTTGCTTAGGCTGGTCTCAAACTTCTGATGTTAAGTGATCCTCCTGCTTCAGCCTCCCAGAGTCTAGGCCAGGCGTCCTCAAACTACGGCCCGCAGGCCACACGCGTCTAGCCTAAGATATTTATCTAGCCTGCCGGCTATTTTTGCCGCTGCTGCCTGTCCTGCATAGCAACCGACTGGTCCCAGGGCCTGCTGTCAGGCCCTCCAACAGTCTGAGGGACAGTGAACTGGCCCCCTGTTTAAAAAGTTTGAGGATTCCTGGTCTAGGATTACAGGTATGAGCC